AGCGACTGTGTCACTTGTTTGCCAATGCAAACGAGAGTTTCTATGAGAATGAGAATGGAATTATGAAATTATCTTCAAAATAGTAACAAGTTATCGATAAAAACGAGGCAAATTTGAGCTAAATCGGACCATTCTAACTATACTAAATGAAACCTCCAGTTTAATGGAAAAATTTATTGTAATAAATTTCTTTTTACTGCACCTTATATGTATATAATATTTGCCATTAATTTAAGGCTTGTTTGTAAACTTTAAAATAGCGAACTTTAAGCGGATTTGCCGACAAGCCAAAGCTATGTCAAAGCATAGAAATACTGGCAAAGAAATTAAATTCCAAACAGCTTTCAAAGCAACAACAAGGACATTGTGTGTGTATGTCTGCACAACAGCGTCGACAACATGCGAGTACGCTGTCATTGACATTGCGCAAAGGACATTTTAGCTGCACACAAACATACAGACACGAGTGAATAGAAGCAAAATAAGCGCAAACAAACGAAAAATCCAAAAGAGAAAAATCGCTTTGTGACAACGTGTCGCAGAGGTAAAAAAACGAAAAAAAAATTAAAAAAAAGTAATGTGAATACACAGTAGAAAAGTAAAATAAAAGTAAAAAGGCAAACAGTAAAAGCATTTCAAAAGTGCAAAAGATCTTTGCGACGCGAGCGAAAGCATATGTTCCCCAGTATGTTGGCAGACGCGCCGCGGCTGGAATGCTGCAGGCAAGGATATACATGTATAACACACATGAAAAAAACAAAAATAATGAATAACAAGAAAAAACGTTATCTTCGGTTGCACAGCAGCTATAATACCCTTCACAAATAGAAATTAGCTCAAAGTTTGCTCGGTCAGTTTGTATGTCAGCTATATGCTAAAGTGATCCAATCTGAACAATATGTTCAGAGATTGTAGCGTGGCCTTAAAGAATAATTCGAGCCAAATTTCGTGAAGATAACTCCTTACATAAAAAATTTTTCCATACAAGGACTTGGTTTTGATTGATCAGTTTGTATGACAGCTATATGCTATAGTGGTCCGATTCTGGTTCTAGTTCCGACAAATGAGCAGCTTCTTGGGGAGAACGTGCGCGAAATTTCAGAATCGATATCTCAAAAATTGAAGGACTAGTTTGCGTATACACACACGGACATGACTAAATCGTGACAGCTCGTAAGGCTGATCATTTATAGATATATATATATATATTTTATACGGTCACCGACGTATACTTCTGGGTGTTGCCAACTTTATGGCAAACTGTTCAATGTATAAATCTGTTCATGGTATAAAAAGTGGCAGCTTCAGTGCATTTAGAAATTCGCAAGCAAGCGCATATGTGTATATACTCGTATGTATGCATGTGTGCGTGTGTGTGTGTCTCATACAAAGTATTTGCGCCTGTCGGCAGGCACTACACACTACTCCATTATTCCCTTTTTGCGATGCGTTGCCGTTGTCGCTGTCGTTGTCCTTGTCACCAAAAGCAGCACAAGCCACCAACATCAAAGCTTTGCCAGGCTTTGAACGCTTTGCCGCGCCACGCCGCGCAGTTTTCACTGACTACCACTTTTCTCTAAATACACTTTCATTCGCAGACGTTACAACACTTTTTTGTGCATTTTTTATTTATTGCTTTTTGTTTTTTTTTTTTTTTGTTTTATGTTGCTTTTTTGTGTTATTTTGCTTTGACGCTGCGCTACTCCACTGACTGACTGCATACGCGGCTGGCTGTCATGTGGGGTAGTCTACTTTTAGGCGCTTAATACCGGCTTTAGCTTAATACACCTACACATGCACATATATATGCATATGTATGTATAAGTGTGAGCGCGCTAGTAAGGAATTTCATTTACTATCAAACTACAACTCGCTGTGTTGCATTTTTTTCGCTCTTTTGTCGCAATTTTACGTTACGTCGCTTTTACGCTGATTTACACCGGCTGGCGTTGAGTCGGCGTTTTCAAGTGATGACACTGTTGGTGGTAATCGGTTTCGGTGTTAACGTGTGTTTTGTGAACACACATACATACTAGTTTGTGTAGTATTTAGTTATGTAAACCAGTGTCCTTTGTAGTGTGTCAAATATGCAATGTTGGAATTTACGCTGCAATCTTTGGAAAAAAATATATTCGGATAATCCGCAGATTTATTTTTATTATGTGATTTAGGGTATATAAACTCAGCATTCTCTGTAATGTAAAAAAAATTAAGCTCTCCTTTGAGAAGTGCACATACAACTAGTTGCGATGTAACGAACTTCGGGGTCATAAAGCAGCATCCGGGGAATTAAGGAGCTTCCGGAATATAGAAATAAATAAAAAAAAGGTTAACTTCGGTTGCACCGAAATTATAATACCCTACAACGGGCATTTCTTATAACAGAGAAGGTCTTGATCTTGATTTTTATCGTTCAGTTTGTATGACAGCTATATGCTATAGTGGTCCGATCTGAACAATTTGTTTGCAGAGTGTAGCACTGTTTTGGATAACAATATGTACCACATTTCGTGTACATAATTTCTCAATTAAAAAGGTTTACCGTATAGGGTCTTGATTTTGATGGGTCAACTATGACATGCTATAGTGGTCTTGGATAATAATCTATACCAAATTTCGTGGAGATATCTTATTAAAAAAAAAAATCGATATAAGCACATTTCCAAGATAAACAACGAAATAGTAAAGAAAGACTTATTTCATATAGAAAAGTAACCGCAGTCTCCGTTGACAATAAAACTTTTAACTGGAACCAATATTTCTAATACAAATAGAATTTATTTAAACGATTTTTTAAAATAAATTATTCGAACTGGTGGCAACCGCCTCGACAAAAATATCTTCAACTTTTTGCTAGCTTTCTTAAGTCTATAGTATAATATTTCTTTTTCTCATATATTTGTTTAAGTTAAGCTTTAAAGAGGTGTCAACGCCACTCAGAAAATATTTTCAACTGTAAACTTTCTCAGAACTCAGTTTTATACAATATTTTTTTACTTTCTTTAATTCAGTAATTTTTTGTTGAAATTTATAAATATCTGGCAACCTGCTATTAGATTAGATTTGAAAATGAGGTATGCACTGCGACCTAGGGTCTATTGTGCCCTCTCCTCCATCACATGCATTCCCAAAGTCCCAGCACCCTGAAAAACTCCAGATACTTGCTGGGTGCTATTGAGGCAATGTGATCCCTGGTCACAAAAATGGAACCGAGGGCCTTGAACCTGCGTCTACAAATTGCGGTGCAATCTAGGATTAGGTGTTCTGGTGTTTCCGGTCCCATGTCGCAGAATCGGCAGTTGCCACAAGAAGCTAAGCCCATGTTTGATAGGTGCTTCTTGAGCCTGCAGTGCCCAGTGTAGAGCGCGACAAGGAGACGGAGTTTGTCTCTGGGGAGGTTAATAATTGCTCTGAACCTGGCTAGGTTGAACCCTCCCAGTAGCAGTTTGGCCTGACGCATCCCTGCTGTCTGTTGCCAGTGACTGTCTCTGCTCGATCTCTCCTCCGTGCGGAGCAGTTCCTTTATTGTATGGGGCCCTACCGCAATGTATGGTTCTGGTTCTTATGGCAACCTGCTAGCACAATAATACAATTGTAATTTGTAACCAATATTTTTCAAATACCTTATATCTGAGAGCACTATTGAATTTATTTCAAAAAAAATTTTATACATTGTTCAAACAGGTGGCAACCTCTATTACAGATATTTTCATATGTAAGCTTTTTTAAGCCTTTTTAGTTTGACATTCATATTGTAATATTTATTTTATCTCATAAATTTGTTGATTTAATAAAAAATTTAAACAGGTGGTAACGCTACGCAAAAAATATATACAACCGTAAACTTACTCAAAACTCTGTTTTTAAAATATTATTCTTCTGCTCAAAAATAAACGAGACTGGCTCAATAAAACAAAAACGGTTAATTATTCTTCAATATTTATTTTATCCCCTTCAAAATAGTCACCATTAGAGGCGGTACACATATGCCACCTTTTTTTCCAATCTTCATAACACTTCTGGTAGGCCGCTTTAGGTATGGCTTTCAGTTCCTTCTTCGAATTCTCTTTTATTACTTCAATCGACTGAAAATGCTTTCCACGAAGCGGCAATTTGAGTTTAGGGAAAAGAAAAAAGTCACACGGTGCCATGTCGGGTGAATACGGTGCTTGCGGAACAATCTTTACGTTGTTTTTGGTCAAATAATCGCGTACAAGACGAGACGTATGAGCTGGATTTTGGAACAAGTCGAGCAGACACACGTCTCATGCCCAAAACATCGTGAATAATGCTATGAGCGGATCCATTTGATATGTTGAGCTCACTAGCTATCTCTCTTTCAGTCACACGACGATTTTCCAACACAATTTTCTTTACTTTTTCGACGTTTTCTTCGTTTATTGACGTTGCTGGACGACGATCATGGGGCAAGTTCTCCAGCGATGTACGGCCGTCCTTGGAAGACTTATACGTGCACGTGACAGGCAAGACTCCCCATATGCCTTCTGCAACATTTTCATTGCGTCCATCGCACTTATTCCATTGGAATAACAAAATTTCAAACAAACACTTTTTGCTCAACGTTAATTTCCATAGTAAAATTCGAAAAACACACTCGAGGTTGACTTGTTTATAGTGCCGTAAAAAAAAAACTATGTGACGCGCTCAAATTTGACATGTAAACATATAACAGTCCTGCCAACCTAAGCAAAAAAAAAGTATGGCCATATGTCATGTCCTTGTCGAGTTATGGATAAAGTCTCGTTTATATTTGAGCAGAAGGAATTTCCAAATATCCGATAAAATTCTATTTTTTTTTGAAACCATACGAGTACTATTACAAGGAGGAAGCTAAAATAAAATATTTAAATTGATACAGTCTTCATGGAAAAACTCTATGCACTGCGATAGTAATAGAATTAGAATAGATTTTTATTACAGTCGCATCTAAAACAAAAGTTTTACTGCTAAAATTAATTTTTATTCCAAAAAATACTTACCATTTTTTATCTGTAGACTATCACCAATAAAGCAGGTAATTAAAAGCGATAAGAACAGAAAACGGCTGATGCTCACACGTTTGCTCGCGTGTTGTAAGATCTCACGGCAAGAACAACAACTGCTTACCGCAGCCGTTGGCCATCTTCGCTGTAGACACCTGTTGGCACTTATTTCATTCACATTTTTGATTTTGCTGTTCTGCTGTAATGACTGTAGGCTTGTATGTGGACTATATTTACAGTGTGGCACACTTATCGCGCGCACTGTAACATTTGTTAATGACACTTTTGTTTTTGTTTTGGTGGCTTTTTCATGCCGCTTAATTTGTTGTATTCGCGTTTTATGCGTTAGATCCTTTGAATTTCTTGTCTGTGTTGTTGTTGTTGTTGTGGTCCTGACGGCAGCTAAAAATGGCTCTGTAGCCATTGCTTTTAGGCATACAACATAGGCTTCCACAAATACACTCACACACACGCATACACTTAGTTAATTGGCGATACGCAAATTACGGATTTGCTTGAAATCGTGTATAGTTGCCAACTTTTTCATTAATTTCAGAGATAGTAGTTATTATTTGGACTGCTTGTAGATTAGCCTTCACATCAGCTGTAAAAAAAAATATTAAATTTTTGTGAAAATGAATGTGGACAGTGCTACACATAAACTATAATATTATAATAAAATGAAGAATATTCGTCTGTTTTGGCATTCCAAAAAGATTTTTTTTGCATTTATGGTATTATCGAATGTAATAAATTTGAAAGCGTATTTTTAAGACTGATTTTACTTGGATAGGTTTTTTTTCTATTTTTAACGGAGAATGGCTCAAATGGAATTCGGCTCTCTGAAGCTCCCTGTACAAGGGTTGCGAGGGCGATTAAGGCATGTTTAAGTGATGCGCTTAATATGCTCCTGCACCAACTGCACACAGACCTTGAAGCTTGCTACTAATCTAAATAAATCAGACTTTATTCTCCCAAGGTTGGATTTCGATAGTTGCTTCAAGGTGAGAATACCCTCTAGACGTGAATGAAGAAGAGGTTAGGTAAAAGAAGAGAATACTGCCTCAATCTATACCGAGGGAATGCGATGTAGAGACGGGGGTATACTTGATATCTCTATATTTTTTCATCTACCAATCTCAGCTAGCTTCTTCCAAGCAGAAGTACTAGGCATAGAGAAGGCCTGTAGAGTTATATTGAACCACTTCGGGAGGATGCAGAAAGTTACCATTTACACAGACTGCCACACGGCACTACTAGCCTTGACGTCGCCAAATCTCAATTCTAGCTGAGTAAACCAATGTAGAAAGGCTTTAAGCTCACTGGCAGCTCAACTCTACTTGTCCATGATTTGGGTTCCCAGTCACAGGAACATTTTCGAACAGCGAAAAAGCAGACGAATTGACTAAGTCTGGAGCCTATCTACACGAGTCCGAGGCAATATTTTCAGGCCAAACACTAGAACCTCACAAAACATTAAAAGCAAATTTTTTTTTAGCTTTTACCAAACTAGTCTTCTAGCTTACTCGGTTTGTGCATTTTCTTGTGTATAATCGATAAAAAAACTAATAAATGAACTGATAAGCAACGGAAGTGATATTGACTATGTAAACAACAGAGAACACACGGAAACAGGGTTGCTAACACAAAACGATTGATTAGGGAGTAAAAGCAGGCACTAATGGGTGAAGTTAAAAATGAAATAAATTAGAATGAGTATCAGTTGTTGAATAACTATTATTGATGGAAGTAAATATTCAAAGAAATATCCAACAATGACGCTAAAATAAAGATTTTGGATTGCAAAGAAATAAAAATAAATATAAACAAAATACATATGTAAGTAAAAAAATATATAAATACAATATATACAAAAAAAAATTAAAAATTAAATTTTAAATAAAAAATTTAAATTTAAATAAAAAATTAAATTTAAAAAAAAATTAAATTTTAAATAAAAAATTAAAATTTAAATCAAATTTAAAAAATTTTTTTTTCAATATTAAAAAAAATTCAAAAAACTATATTAATAAAAATATTTTTAAAAAAATTTTTATAATAAATTTTTAGATTTAAAAAAAAATATCTTAAATTTTTAAAGTCAAAAAAAATGTTATATTAAAAAAAATTATACAAACAGAATTTTAAAATTTAAACAGACAAAAGAAAATATAAAAAAATTGGACAAAATATATATTACTAATAGAATATTAAAATTAAAAAAGACTCAAAATATAAATAAACACCTATAAAAAATTTCGCAAAGAGAATTTAAAAATTAAAAATGAAAGAGTAATTTAACAAAAAAAAAATTTTATAAAACCGACTAAACATAATGTTAGTAAAATAATTAAAACCAAACACAAATTTTAATAGAAAAAATTTAAAAAATTAATACAAAAAAATTAAGCAAAGTAAATACAAAACAATTTAAAAAAATGTATACAAAAAAAGTTAATAGAAAAATAAATACAAAAGAATTATTAAAAAACAATGTATCAAGTTATTAACCAAAAGCTTTAGAGTTATGAGATACACGAATTATGTAAAGAATGCATAAGAAAACAGTGTTAGTAGTTTAATACTAAAATTATCGTTATATTATATATATAAATATTTATAGTAATAATTAGTAAAAATATAGCAAATTAGTTTAAAAAGGCGGACAAAAAATACTTATGAAAAAATAACTTTAAAGCTGAATAATTGTGTATTTAAAACTATAACAAATTATAACCAATTTACTACGATCGCAGTAGTTTGACAACACTGCACAGCACACACAAGCACAGCTGTCGTTTAACGAAATAAAGCAAACAAAAACAATCACGAAATCAAATGGAGCGTACAAGTCGCGACATTTTCTTAATTGCGCTTTATCGAGTTTCTTTTCGCGTATACTTGGTTTTTTGAGTAAATTTTGTCTTTTTTTATTCATCATTTGCTAATTTCATAAAGATTTATTGCGTTAAATTCGCCACTTTATGAGATATGCAAATTATGCTGCCTTATTTGGCAAATTTTTTAAAACAAAAAATAAAAACGCAGACATAAAATGATTTATGGCTACAAGTGTATTTTAAAAAGCATATAAAAATTAATTAATTAAGCAATTAATGATGCTACGGCAAAAGATAAAGATACAGGTTATAAAAATTATTAAATGCGTTACGGTTTGCAACTTTTCCGGTTAATAAATTTTCAAAATCAAAATAGATAATCAGATAAAAAGTAATTGGCATAAATGTTTAGGAGGAAAATTTTAAGTTAATTCGACAAATGCTTTTCGAGTTGTTCGATAATTAGCAAAGAGTTCTCGGTCGCTGTGAAACGTAAGTGTAAAACGTCAAATGCGTTTTTCTAAAAACTATGTTTTTTGAACTGGTAATCATTGTAGCTCAAAAAGAGCTCGGTAAATTTAATGATATTTATGCAGTTTTTTTATTTAAACATAAAAAAATAGTGTCTGATCGAAGCATTTTTTTATTTCGATTTTTTATAAAAATTTAATGGTTGCTTTTTACTGATAATTTGGAGCTACGGTTTAAACTAGATCAACACAAATAGCCATAACTATTAAAATAATTTTTTTTTTTCAAATTACTGTCAAATCATGTCGAAACCTTATTTAGCCCTATTTATCGAGGCTATGTTTTTACTTTTATAAAATCAAGTAACTTACTGGAAAAAAAAAAAATTTAAAATTATCATTTCTCCAAAAATATAAATTGAAGAAGCTAAAGTAATAATATTTATAAATATTTATTTTTAATGACATAATTATTCAGTCATTTTATGTACTTTACTTTGTTATTTAAATTTCTTAAAACTGCTTAAATGCTGTCATCATAAGCTTGTACCTTCTTTTAGGAAATACTAAAAATTCACGATTTTCTAAAGACTGTGCAATAATTAGACGGCCCGAAAATATTTTTAAGAACTTTGAAAGCACTTCAAACATGTGAGAGTTAAAATTTAAACTTCTGTATTATTCCTAACCAACACAGATCAAAGTATTTCAAATAATTTTTATTTTTTCTGCGATACGACATCTATTAAACACTTACAAAAAATACAGGAAGCTTTTTGTGAAGACAGCAACATTATGCAATGATTCATAAAGTGATTAAATGTTTCTTTTAACATTTTTAACTACCACATAAAAGAGAACAATAAAATCGGCATATAAACGAGTTCAACATATTTGATACTGAAATATCTTTATAGTCAAAAATAAAATGTAGCAGATTTTCTGGCCTAAGAAAAAAAATTGTAACGGCATAGGAAAAATATCGAACAATCAAGAATTTCACCTGCTACTATATCCATAAGGATGTCGGGCAAAGGTCACTCTAGATTTTCGGGGCAACTCAAGCCTTTTGTCTGCTAAGGTTGGTGGTTTATTTTTAGGTACGCCATTCACTGGAGTCTGGAGTCGGTGAAGGTGTTAATGACTCCACTGTGAATGACGGTCAGTGGGCGTCTGAAACTAATTGCGTCTGTAGCCTAGTCGGCGTATTGCTCAATGTCGTCGACGACGTAATGAAGGAATAATCTCTTGATGATCTGAATAGGCGGCATCGCTTCAAGCAGACAGGGATAATGATGATTTCAACGAAAACATCCGAGTAGAAAGTGCTTGAAGAGGAGTGCATTGTATTTCTTAACCGGAAGCGGGAGACATCAAGAGCCATTCTGTTATAGTTTGTAGTTTAGTGTTCTAATACGTCTGAAGCTTCTTAGTCTCCGTTTCACTACATCCAGGCGACCATATCGGTGCTGCGTAGTTCAGGACGTAGTTCAGACGGCTGACTGCCAATAACGTGTCATTGTCTTTTCCCAACGATTTTTCCTTGATGGGTTTTTCGAGGCTCTGTACTTTGGTAATAATCACGGTTGTATGCGAAGTGAAGATGCACAGGCGGCTAAGTGTATCGTCTAAAATCTTACAATTGTTGACAGTCGGTATTTTAAAGCCATCGACAGTGCAATTAGATCCAGTCTATACTCCTTCGTCCAGTTCTTAAATATGGTCGCAGTGGAATTAGTGGAGGAGAGTGTAAGGCTCCTTGCAAAGAAGAAGAGAGAAATATCGGAGAGATAGCTGTTTACTTTTGAACATATGTCATCAATTCCATTGCCTGACGACAATATCATATCTTTAATTGCGTATGAAGTAATGGAAAAACCCTCTGGTGGTTGCGGAAGTTTAGAGATTAATTTAGATTTACATTATCGTAGATAATAATGAATAGTCGACCTATTGGTGGACTATTTTCTAGTGAAATGAACGGTCGTTTTCAATCTCAATTATTTATTATTATATTTACATTTTTTTTTAATTACGAAATGACTCTTTGCATCAAGAAAAATGTTTGCTCTGCCAACAAACAATACATGCAAAAACATCGGGCAAACACATACATATGCAGATATTTACAAAATTCCTATAATGTACGTGAGTGCAATAACAAAACACAGAAACAAAATAAATGCGCCGGAATTGTCGAGACGTTGACGCCGGCAGCCAACAAAAGAAGTTACTTGCAAAAACAGAGAAATAAAAACCAAAACACATTTTTTTTTATTGTATATAGCTGAAGATGTAGATAAATAACAAAGGAAAACTGAAAATATAGAACTGTATGCTTTTTTACGTGTGCATGCACATGGGGTTGGTAAAAATGCACAACAAACAAGCAAGTGTAAAGTGCAACGTAGGATAACAGAGCGGCAAAGGCAGAGCGAAGAAGGAAAGAACCAAAGCAAAATAATGTGATAACAAATGAGCAGGCCAGTAAAAATGATTGCAGCGAAGGTACGTGAAAAAATTATATGGCATTGCAGCGGGGTAGAACAAATCACAAATGAAGAAACTATTGAAAATTTCCATAGAAAGCATAGCCTTCTAGTGGAATTTGTAAACAATCTTGCACACACAGTTTTGGATGGACAATTGGAATACACAAGTGTTACTATGCATAAAACTATTTTACATACGTTCATTACCATTTACAAAGGCTATTTGATTCGCTTGATAACTGATATAAACTGAACCGCGTTAAATGCTAATAACTTATGGCTTCACTTTTATTATTATTGCATTTATGTATTGTATTTGGATTGCACTACACTAAACTTAACATCGACAAACACTTGGTTTTAAACAAACAACATACATAGTTGAATAAGTTAGCATAGAATATGCTTTATTTCATTTTCAATATCTTTAAAATTTTGGATAAATTCTGTCAGCAACAGCTGTACAATTCACTTGTTAAGAACACTTAATTAGAATCGCATGATATGCAAACTGTTTATTTTATGTAGTACGCTATGCAACAAATTGTGTTTTCATAATTGTTTTCAATAAATTAAATTAAACGCCGCTTCCGACAACGATAAGTACTGGGAAACCTTTTCTATAATTTATCCGCGCTTCACAACCGCATCACAAAAGACCAAAATCCGTTTTGAACAAACTCGAACAAACTTCGCCCGCTGTCATTACCACAAATCAACGAATACCGATGGAAACATCGAAGCGGGAAATAAACATGCTTACCATAAACGACGATAAACAAGCAGAAGTAGAAAATGTCAAAATCTGCTACAACTCCAAGCAGTCCTGCCTTGTGTAGCGTTGCCAACTTTTTCTTACAACATATGTGGGCAATAAAGTTGGTGCGACTTTTTGCATAAACTTGTTATGTTATGGGTTAAGGATAGTTAGAATTATCATAAAGTTTTGTTTTGCATTTCCTTAAAGTATATTATCTGAGAAAACTTGAAGCATTGTATAATATTAATATTAAATATTCACTATTTTACGAAGTTTGTGTTGCAAATTTTTAAACATTGCCCTCAGTTTCGTTGAATAAGCATTTTCTGCATCCCGTTATTTGACATAGTTGTTTAATTGCACCTAACATTTTTCTGTGGTGAATATTTATTAAGTTACCACAGTTAAAAAAAGGCATAAATATATATCGTAATTATTCTGAAATTTGCCAATAATAGCCGCTTTTTTAAGAACATATATTAAAATAAACTTATTTTATTTTGAAAACATATTAAAGTTTTACATATAATCAATATTTTTTGGACAACTTTTTCATAAATTAAAAGAAAATAGCAAGATGCAACCATTTTCCGGTTAAAAGTCGGCCATCTTGGCTATCAATAGAAACTCAACCCCTAGGCGGACTGGACGTTTCTCCATGGACCCCTCTCAGCTGTAGCATTGTTTACATCCATCGGCTGGTTCTTTCTCTACTCCCCCTTTACGATGAATTTACTGAAACTCGTTTCTTCATACTTCTATCAAAAAGTGAATTACATTTCTATCTAAAGGAACGCGTAATTCCAAAAGCTGTAATGTTTTTTACTGGCGAAATTGCCGATTGTCAAAGTTCGGAATCCGAGTCCGAGGATACGGACGATGAGGATGACGACGACGATGATGACGATGAGGAGGACTCGTCCAATAATGAGGCGAATGAGGACTAAGCTTAGTATATCCTATATTTATTCAATTATATTATCACTATCGTTTTAAACATTGTGAAAACTATCTCTCCACTGCATATGCATTTTATATGTATGTATATATACTTTCAAAATATTTCTGAATAAAATTTATGTCAACAAGTATCATATGCGTCCTTATTAATTATATTGAGATATATATATATATTATACATATACATAAATATATATGTATGTATCTATGTATGTAGTATTAAGTGTGCATGTTAGGTTATCATAAATATTACAGCACCATATGTATAAACGTACTTTAGAATTAATCTATTGTCGGTATATCAGGGTCGTTCGTCTCAATAATATGGTCGGCTATGATTTGGCACTCAGGTTTTCCAGCTTTGAAGCGTTTTACGCCCTCACGCGTTACGCTGGTGCCACTCAGATCTAGATATATTAGCTCAGGTGAACATTGCACGAGATGATGCAGTGAGATGTCGGTGACTTTTTTATAATTTCGTACGCTAAGTCTTACAAAGCTATTTTCGCTCGGACGATTGCCAATACGAATCCAAAATACCCCATGCTCCACTGGATTTTGCGGCCTCCCAAAGCAACAAATGCCACGATCTGAAATGGGATATGGGCGAAAACATGGGTGATGACTGAAGTGCGTCACTTGTCCTGACCCAGAGCTCGACCTACTAGCTTCACGTCCGCTTAAAGGATTGATGATATTCCAAAATAGTGGATGTTGTATCATTTGATTATCCGAAATTGGTAGCGGACGCACATGCCGTATACTCGGACGGCGGTTTACAAAATCTAAGAATATGACTTGATCTGGACGCGGTAAAAATCGGCTACGTGACGGTACATTGCCGGCCGGTTCTGGAGCGTTGTTGTTGCCTGTTGGATTGTCTAGTGCCAAGCGCGAAGGTGAAGCGAAAGGTGAATTCATTGCAGATGAAGGCGATGACGATGATGTAGAAGACGACGACAAACTTAATCTAAAACTTACCGATCCAAACAGGGTTAGATCGTCGAAATAACAGCCCTTGGCCGGATAAAATCCGGGTCAATTCCGGTATCGCAGAACCGGCTGTTGTGGGAATTGAATGACCTCGACGACAACGAATCTAGAATTTATCACCCAAACGGGGATTAGATAATCGTTATAACAACAACAACAACATGTAGAAGACGAAGAGGATGATGTTGATGGTTGTGGGCTAGAACAAGTCGGTTGTTCCGTAGATGCATCCTCACGTCCTTCTTGTCCTGGTGTATTTAAATTGGCCTCTACAGTAATGGAATTAGTAGGTGAATTACTGTCTTCGCGTGTGACTGATGCTTTTGATGTGGACGGTTGACAATCTTTACTATCAGAATCCTTATTATTATTTTTGTTTGCTAAGCTAGTTTTTGTATCGTTAGCACGCATATTTAAAGACACTCAAGTAGTAGTTCTTTTAATGTTAGTACCATATTAAAACATTGAACATCTGAATCTGTTATAGGTGTAAAACGCAAATCTAAGTACTAAAAATTCCAAGCAATATTTAGTTGACAATAACAGTGCTCAAATTTTTAGATAAATACTTACTTCTAATTTTTTAAAACCAGAAAGAACCACCATCCTCCCATTACCCAATTGCGTACAACCTTTTAGACTAAGCCAACGAAGTGAAGGTATTTTGGATATCATCATGATATAATGTGGTTCAAACCAACTGCAGAATTCAATTCCAAGTTCCTTTAGAGTAATGTTAAATAAAGATTGTAAATCGTTGTAATGTAGTTTATTTACATACCTCCAAATTCACTAAATGTGTGTGAATACCGGAAAAAACAGTTTGTTCTTCTGGTGGCTTACAGATATCACAAAATTTAAAAACTAAGCGCTTTAGAGTTTTCGGAAAATGCACAATTCGTACCTTCAAACAAAACAAGAATGTAATAATAGGACACACGAACAATTATAAGTTACTTACATTCCTAAGATCTACTTTAACACAACGTAATTCCAAAATACTTAATTGTGTGGTACGCAACGCGAAAGTATCCGCCAGCGTTTTGTTAAACTTCAATATTTCCGCACTTGTATATTGTCTAGATTGACCATTCAATTTTATGCTTGTAGTTCCTTGATATGTGCGCTCCATCACATATTCAAGTATACCTAATGGCAATTGTTTTTCACTTAGATCTATATGGTGCCAAAACCGTCGGTCCATCAATAAAGTATAGAAACGATTACAGCAGCTGAAATGATAGAAACCGATATAACCGCATACATATGTATGTATGTCATAAAAAAGAAACCGGCATACTTACTTCTTAAGAACGCAATACGACCAAGAGTCTAAATTCTTAAATATTTCGTAAAGAAGCTCGTCCGGAAAGTCTGTGATACAAATTTTGTTCGATTCAACAACACTGCGTACCTTTGCAGCAGGTATATACTCCGCCACGGCTCCATTATTCGTATTAGATGCAGTGTCACTGTTCTGTTGTTCAACGTCATCCGTATGGCGATGTTTTCTTTGTATTCTTGACTCAAGGAGATCATTTTGCAGTTTTGGTGTCTTTTCCTCAGTCCCAGAATCCATTTTCTACGGTATTTTCTGCAATTTTGTTGGAACGCACCAAATATTAGTCATTGTATAAATCTACAAGTAGCCAATCCTAAGATTTTCACTAATACACACGCAAAAATATCCCACTTGGTACGGGTTGCCTCGAAAATTCTACTACTAAAATCACACTTGGTACGGGTTGCCAACCATTATTCTGCTACTAAAACAATTAAAAAATACTATAAACAAATTGTTAAACTACATCCTTTTATTTGAAACTCTGTGTCAAAAAAAGGCATATTCGATCAGGTGATCACGGCTGTTTCACACACATAGGAAAACAGCTGATTCTTTGGCTACTTGTAAGCTTAGTGCCGTTTCACATTGGGACGCAAAAGAGTCTCATACCAGTTTATTGTGGGTGAGGGGATGACGAGGAAAGACGAAGGGACCGTGCCACTCGTGTTCGGGTGGCACGCTTTGTGTTCTTGTTCGTAACAGCTCGCTGCTACCCTTTTCAGCATTCCTTTTCACTTTCAAATTCTTTGAATGGTTGCAAGAGCGCTCGGTTTCAAATAAATTCGATCGCAAATTTGAGTTCTGTTATCTATTTTTGTATGTAATATGCAAATACGTATGCATAGAATAATAGAAATATTATGACAAATTGTAAATAAGGAGAAAATTAAGATATAGATTATGGAGTAAAGAAATTATGAATTTTTAATACGGAGTAAAGAAATTATGAGTTTTTAATACTTAAAGATTAGGAAATTGCTATTATAAATTTGGCCTTGAAAATATTAGTTGCGGATATTCAATACATTCTTGTGGATTAGGGAATTCCCGTCTTTAGTATTTTTTTGAAACTATTTAGCGGGTAGGTACTTGTACTATGCATATTGTTCTACCATATTCATGGTAATTCATTGCAAGCAAAATGTGTGACCATCATCTCAACATACAAATGAAATACGCAGCACGCAGTGTTGCGCGGTGTTGCGCAGTCGAACCGCACAAATATTTACGAACATTTTGTGAAAAGGAATGCAGAAAAACTAGACTCAAGTTGCTGGACTCTTTTTGACCGTGTGAATGCCCAGAGCGACACCAAAAGAAAATTTGAAAAACATCAGACTCTTTTGCATCCCTGTCTGAAACGGCACATATACAATGACTTGAAGTAAGTCCGACAAATACTCTTTGAGTTACTCGACAATTTGCAAAGAGTTCTCAGGCGCTCTGGAACGTTCGTGTAAAACTTTAAATGCGTTTTTCTCAAAATTACAGTAAACCAAAAAAAGATTTGTGAGGAGAGATTTTATGACTTTGAAGAAACTTTTTTCTTCAGCTACAACCAATATTATTAAAATACGAATCTTATGTATTTTTATAAAAACTTAACAAAAATCAATTTTGATGTTAACGATTGCAAAAAGTTAAATTATCCCATTTTTGAGTTACCGTTATTTTTGTTATTTTTGTTTGGCATTATTTGCGTATGGTCAAAATGTGTTATTTGGTATGCAAATTTCTTTTGTGCGGTTGTAGTTTTTAAAGAAAAAATGGCAAATAAACAAACATCACAAGATTTACAGGCTCTTTTATTCAAATATTGGCAAGTACTCGCGAAATCACAAGCGCAGATACTATTGTTCAGTACATTATTGCTAAATTCAAAAAGACTGGTGGGTGGTGTTGGAAGAGGCTGGCTCAGGAGGCTGCATTGTGTGGTGCAATGAAAGCAAAAGGGACGCAGTGGGAGCTAAGGGCGTCGGTAACCTTGTTTTCATCGAAGGAATTAATTAAAGAATGGACTACTAGGCAGTATTAAGAAATAATATGGCTACTTCAACAGCTAAACTCAATTTAAATGGTGGATACTGCTTTGTTCAGAATAACGACTTGAAGCATTCTGCTGTAGTGGTTAAGGAAAAAAGTGTTGCCACATCCTCCCCAGAGTCCAGAGCTCAATCACATAGAACACCCGTGGGCCTATATGGTGACGAAGTTCTGCAAGAGCGCAAAGTTAATAGCAAACATGTGGTTAAGGTTGCTCTCCACGAAATATGGGCAAATATACCTGCTGAACTTACACAAAATTTGGCGCATTCTATGAATAAACAACTGCGAACCATGATAGAGTGCAAAGGTGCACATAAAAAGTATTAATTTTCCTTAAAGAGTGTTTAAATGTCAATTTATGCAAACTGTACAAGATTTTTTTTTTGTTTTCGAAAGTAAAGTTATTTTATTTTTAAATTTTTTAGAGAAAACTGTATTTTTAATTACATAAGGAAAATGGATTTGCAATAACATTATGAAAATTTATAAAACGACCTTGTTCTTACTTTTGGATGCAACTTAATAGTTTAGAAAATAAGTCACTTTAAAGCCGTTTTTTTTACCGCTCGGAAGATTTGAATTAAATTTATGCAGCTTTTTTAAAGCATGAAAAGTTTTTGCCTGATCGAAGGTTTGTTTATTTTACTCCGATTTTTTAAATTTAACTGCTGGTTTTTTCCCGAAAATCTGGAAAAAAAAATAACTTTTAAATGCAGCTTCGATCAGGCACTGGATAATTGATTAAAAAAACAAATTTTTTTTGTCCGATTGATTGTAGATGAATAGCTTCGGTTGGAACTGGACCAACACAAAAAGTCATTACTTTTAAAATAATAAATTTTTTCTAATATCTAATTCTAATTCTATATTACCCTTGACAAATAAAAAAAATACATACATACAAGTAGTTGATTTTGATCGTTCAGTTTGTATGGCAGCTATATGCTATAGTGGCCGATCTGAAAATTTTGTTTGGAAATTGTACCGTTTCATTGGAAATTAATCCATGCCGAATTTCAGTGAAGGTGTCTATACAACGGCTTGATTTCGAGCGAGCGGTTTTTCTAACAGCTATATGCTATAGTTTTCCAATATCGGTGGTTGGCTTATAGAGAAAATGACGTGTGCAAAATTTCATTTCGATAACTCAAAAACTGAGAGACTGGTGCACATACAGACGGACATAACTAAATCGCCTTAGCTCGTCACGTTGATCATTTATATATGTATATATATGTATACATATTTTTTTTTTTAGTCTCCGACGTGTTTAATTTGGAAAGTCAGTTTTATTTCCATTCTTTCTTTCAAGTTTAACCCCTTGCCTTACGATTAAATTTCAAAGAAACATGGGTGTGGAGACTATTTAATTTTATCAGAATATAAAAGTAAAATTTTTTAATTTTAAATATATGGATCTTATTTCATTTTTAGTAATTTCCTTTGAAACTAGAATACTCTAAGCCCACAGAATAACTGAAAAAAGGAAAAATTACAATTGTTTTATTTTACAAATTGCCTAGTACCGTTATCTACAATGAAAGAATTTGAGATAAAAAAAGGGAGCCAAGATAAAGTATAAATAGCATAACAGTTGTTTTTAAGTTTCATAAATTTACCACTACTACTTTTAAAGCATTTAAATATGTGGCGGGCATTGCCCGTCACTGTCGAATTTGGCACATAAAATGTTTGCGGGCGACACTCGTGATTTCCACTCAAAGGGTTAAAAAAAGAATTTTCTAGAAATTCAAAAAAAAAAGTGTTTGTTCCTTATAATGAAGTATACTCACACAAATGTTAAAAAAGAAAATTAAATATTACTTTCGTGCCGTATGGTATACATATATGCAGACAACGAATGCAGTAGGTAGCAATAATTTATTTAGACAAAGAAACTGAAAAATAATTCATTTTAATTTTGTATGCGTTTCGAGCGTGTTAAAATTTGCGGGACAATTACATTTTATGTAAATAGGTACAGGAGTAAAGCAGAAATATCTTCGTTACTAGTGTTTTTCTGATTTTTTTTTTTTTGACTTATTTATTCAAATATGTTTCCTAATTATTTTCAGCGCTTTTTGATAAATATCAATTTCCTAAATGGGAGCATTAAAACGATAAATAGCGACTAAAAATAATAAGCTGCATATACATGTATGTACTTATTTTAGGTTGGCTGTTTTAATGTCCTCCGCAACGTTAAAAAAAAAAAACAATTTGTTTATAAATTATTATTGAACTCGATATTTTGGCTTTTAGCAAGTTCTACAAATACACGTATGTACATAGTCTATAGCGCTGCCATGAGTTAACAAACACTTAAAAATTATAAAAGAGCAATGTCAGCATTTGAATATTTTCATAAAAACTTATAGCTTTACTTATGCTTAACAATTTCTTTTTATTACAGTATTTTAATTTACGCTAGTCATCAGTTTAACCAGCCTGGTTGTTTTACGCTAGTATAATTTTGTCTTCTCCACATTTGTATTTTCCTTGTTTCAAGTTTTCTCTTTGTTTGTATGTTTACTTATATTGACACGGAACAATTTCATAGAGATTTACATTATTGTTGGGTGTTTTCCTGTTATCCTTGTTGATTTTCTATTAATTATACAATTTAAAATAAAATTCTAGTGTGGTTGCTGCTTTTTGCTAGCCTGCCGCGTCGTCTTTCGATGATGTGTGCCGCCGTTCTTGTCATGCGCTAACGCCGCACTCGCACCAGCCGCCGCTGTGGCACTCATACTCATGCTAGTCGTGGGTGCACTTGTGCCTTGGCTGACGGTTTGTGTTGCGTTTTTACCAGTATATGGGATTGTGAAGAGATTAATATGTAGATGATTGCAAATCTCCAAACACACCTGTGTGAAAAAAGAGAGAAAAAATTGTGGGCAAAAACAAGAAAAAACATTGACTTTTGAAATAAGGTTACATAAAATATTTTATGAAGATCTTTATCTTGATTTTGATCGGTCAGTTTGTATGGCAGCTAGTAAATGCTATAGTTGTTCGGAGCATTTGTAGCGTTGCCTTGGAAAATGAAATATGCAAAACTTCTTAGTTATATTGTAAAATAAAAAAAGTTTTCCATACAAGGACTTAAACAAAAATCGAGCAGTTTGTATGCCAGCTTATGATATAGTTATCCGATATAAGCAATATGTACGTAGATTATTGCGCTGAAGTGGATAATAATCTATCCCAAATTACGTGAAGATAACTTGTCAAATAAAAGTTTTCCAGACAAGAACTTAATTCGGTTCGTTCAGTTTGTATGGCAGCTATATGCTATA